TTCCAAATTCTCCAAACTAACATCACATAGATTTAAATGAAAGTGATCGTCGCAGTAATGTGCACTACTGAAGTAGTGCACATTACTGCGAGGATCACTTTCATTCACGTCTTTATCCGCAGTTCAAATATATGACTTTCATATATTCTTGACCGTTTATCACATAGATTGTATGGCAGACAGTAAGGAGGATTACTCATGAAATTTTGAGAGTCAAAGGGTTAAGCCACATATGGTAATCATGTGTACCAGAAAGACAGCAAATAAATGTAACATTATACTCCAGTAAAGTATTCTTATGTAGAATAAAGTTTCAAAATCATTGAATTTAAGTTGACTTCATAATTCGTATTTTGGTTAAAAAGATGTGTAATATCTCTTCACAAGGATGAAAAGGGAATGCCATTTATGAATTTTAAAATAGTAAATGCCAAAAACATATGGATGGAATTTAAAAAACTACTAAAATATGGCATATCTATTCAATGAGGTTCTAATCATTGGCTGTCCCACAGAGAAATAAAATAGGATTTGTGAAAAAAACCAGGACAATAAAATTAAAGATTCAGGAGAAGCATATGATTTTAACTTGTTCACTGATGTTCTCACCTGAATTCAATCTGGAATGAGAACTCTGCAAGACTTGTGTTTTATCTTGAATTAAAAAACAGCGCAGCGAAAGTGGCTCCATGTTTTGTGAGACAAACCACTTCCACTTCCACATCACTGACTCAATCTCATTTTATTTCAATTTTGGAAAAGACCATTATTTCGTTCTAAGGGTAAAACAACGCATCTTTGGCAAAGCGCAAATTTTTCAAATGAATAGAGTAAATCCTGCAATAATTAACTGAAGAGAAGAAAATGTAGAAACTTGCGCTCGCCGTTCGCCATCATTTAAAAACTTTCTAGGCAAAAAAAAATATGTAAGATAACTTCTTTTCCCATAACACCACAACTGTATTAAACATTCAAACAATAGGACAAGAAATAACTTGAAGAATACAAACACTATGAAATATTATTCGTGCGCATCACCTTTTCCCTCGCCCTTCCATTAAGTAGTGGTTAAGATAGTGCCCACGGTACATTTGGCCGCGCATGCTAAAAGTAGCACCTTGTACAGATGCCCTTACGGTCATAAGTCTAAACTTTTTCGGCTTGATGGGTTACTACTATTTTGTATAAATATGGGGCTACGCTGCGTGTGCTGCGAGCTCCGCTATGAGAAAAATTATTTTTCTAGCAAAGTTAGGGCAAACAGAGAAAGAAAAATTAATGATATGCAGAGCATAAATCAAGTAATGTGTTGAATTGATTGACAAATTCACACGAATCTATCGTTATAAGGTGTGATTGTATAGCTCAGTAGAACAAAATCATTTGTAAAACTGGAATGTGCTTTAAGGACCTACAAATGGGGTAACCGGACATTTCGCACCAAAGACCTTTCGTACAAGTTTTGGGCCGCTCGCACTATTCTTAGTAGTTATTTCGCACAATAAATATAGGTGAGAAATATCAATATAAAAGGTACACTGACTGATAGTGATAAGATATTTCACCTTCACATGTCACTTTCCATAGGATCGAACGGCGAGAACGTCGATATACGTAAAAAACTTCAACTAGATCGAAGCGCCTGTGAACACGAACACTACTCGTACTTGAGGAAAGGAAAGGTACAAATCTTTCTCTCTATGAAAATTTAAAGAACTCCTTATTCAAAGGATTGCTTCTATTACTTTCCCTTTGTTAAACGAAACACTTTTTAGTTTTGATAGTACATCATCCACTTCAGACATGACGATCCACGCTAAGGGCGCCATGTTGATTTCGAAATTAATTTTCACCAGTCCTCTCTCCTTATTCGATCGATCTAACCCTAAGCAAACAGTTCAACGTTAGTAACTCGATGTTCCGGGAGTGCTTCACATCGAATGTCGGCACGTGCAAGTGTTGTGATTTAACAACTTGAACGTGTGAAACTAGTGATCTTGTAAAAAGACATGTTCGATCTGTAATCTTTTTAAATATCGTAAAGTTTAATACATCAATCAAGTAGTAACCTTTCAAATTATTCTGCTAACAATTCCATAAATGATGGAGAGTTCAGTATGATTGATAAGCGTCATTGCAACCGTAATGTAAACAAATGATTTCACGAAAGTTTCAAAAATTTAAAATAATTCAAAGATTATACACTAGCCGTTCGATAAGTAATCATATAAGCTTAAGAGCAAAACAAATAAAGAAATCTAGATGTACTATAACTTACATGAATGTAGGAGAGGGCTAAATTTCTACGAGTCTTGACCGAGTAGCAAGTTAAAATATGCGTGACTCTGCGGGTAACATGGCCGTGATATAGTCGAGATTTATATAATAAGCTCAGTTATGCACGCATTCTGATTGGTTCTCACTTATGATCTATGGGAGGACAGAAGTATGGATGACGTCATCGTTAAAACTTTTTAAAATTCTTTATTATATAAAACAAATAGATTCCAAGTTGCCGTGCGTCTGTTCAGTAATAGATCACAGAGGACGTGAAAATGTGGTAAGAACATCAGTGACACACTCGGCTGCGCCTCATGTGCCACTTTGTTATTCTTACCACATTTTGACGTCCTCTGTGATCTATTACTGAACAGACGCACGGCAACTTGGAATCTATTTGTTAAATGGATATAATTTTTTATCAGAGTTCATCAATTTCATCCGAAATGCAAAGAAAAGTAGTATAGTAGAATCAAACCAAGGGTTTGCACATACTGTTATAGGTCCAGCAGCAAGACATGAATCTACCGTTATAAATATTTATAAAAACACATGAAGTTGAAACAGGAAATGTGATTAAAGCCTTTCATTAAACCTTAGCATTAAGTTTGGTCCTAAATAGATGGGGGCCTGCTGGGATCAGATTTGGTTTCGATCATCTGTAATAAAATGTGATCCTATCAAATATACAAAGGGCACAAAAAATCTATTCGCTACATGTGTAACTGGCACAACTAGTGTAGACAATACTGAATGGATTTGCTCAACCTGCCACTCAAACCTAAGTGATGGGAAGTTACCAGTTTGTTCGAAGGCTAGCAAAATGGAATTTCCTGCGAAACCAGAATGCTTAAACTTGACACCTTTGGAAGAAAGGTTAATATCCCCATGTTTCCCATTTATGTTAATACATGAACCCCCTAGAGGTAGACAATTATCTATTAATGGCAATGTTATTAATGTACTTGCTGATGTGAAGTCAACGATAGACACCTTATCAAGGCTGATAAATGAAACAAAAACAACCCCTACTTTATGGCAATTCAGGATTCATAAACAGGAAGATTCATGGTAGAAAGGTTGTTACCGTATTTTAATATTTAATAAACGGCCCCCATTCCATTCCGGTCTTGTCCAAAAGTGGGCAAAGATGGAATCTATAATTGGTCACAACATAGGCAGAGGTTCTGAGAAGTCAGCCGCACACACCCAGCAAAAAATGACCCATGTCCCCTCCAGGGGGGGTTTCCATCACATACTCAAGTACTATAATTTCTATACTTGCAATGGTTCTACTTTCTACCTTTTTTTTAACACCTTAGGTTACTGATAGCAACTTTACAAGTGTATACCTCTGTAATACTTAATCCATGAGTTGGCCACAGGTGCCTTTTGATTTAATCTTTTGTTCTCGATTTAATGAATAAGAGTTTAAATTGTCCAGTAGGATTGTTTTACTAAAAAACTTTTGATCCACTCAGTAATATAAAAAGCCACTTTGGGAAAGGTTATTCATTCTCAAACGTTGCATACGATCGATAAAGTAAAATTCCAAGGTTATGAATTGGTCCGTTCAATATGTCTGAAAAATGCTTATGATTTATATATTGAGAACCAAGAAGAAGCCTGGTTTCTCGGATGGGTTGAAAGCGAAGACCGTTGATAGCACACTGAATGTTCAGAAAATGGTAAGAACAAAATACTTTGATTTGGTACCTTGATTTATGTGTGATGTAGATTTTTAGCTAAACTTTTCTTTTCTGCTTTAATATTTTTCCGGCTAACGAAGTTTGTGGAGATATTGATGCCTCCAGTGTTCATGATGTTTCTATGACGGTCAATAATGAAGAAGATGCTTATGGAGACTCCAGTGATGTTTCTATGGACGTCAACAGTGCTGATCAGGAATTATTGTAATTCAGTGGGATGCCTGTGGCGGTTCCACGGTAAAAATCAAGTTTGGTTTGTTTTTCATTGTACAAACAAATTACAGAGCCAGCCAATAGGATTGCATAAAATCTTTCTTGATTGTTTCTTCTTTTAAGTCGACCAATGGGATTGTACAAAATCAATACCAATCCCTACACATAATAAAATGTCAGTAGAATCAGAGGAAAAAGTAATGTGCCTTACATCTGTTAGAGTTCATGTACTTATTTTAATTACATGAATATTAACTGATACTAGGAAATCTAAGAATATTCAAGAGAAAATCAAATTTGGTTGAAAAATTAGAATTGAGCATAGGCCAGATAATCAAGATTCCTAGAAATAGAAATGTGTACTAATGAAAAAGCAAAGCAAACTTTTTTAAAACACCTGCCTGTACCTGTACAGCAGGCAGTAAAGTCATTTGAAATAATCATAATCCTGGTTTTATATGTTAAATACACATGCACATGAAGATTTCCTTTTAAAACTGTAGTTCACGCCTGCAACGACTTCAAAATCTTGATGCACACGTCATAAGGATAAGAAATAAATTTCAAGTTTCTATTTATTCAGTTTAGGTTAATGAGGTAAAATTGAGTCAGACATTCATACAATGACAGGTTCAGGAAATTTTCACAATTAATTTATAAGGTTAGCCTACCCAGAACAATCAACGTGTATAAATAAGACGAGAGCCCAGTTTTATAAAAGGGCAGATACCACTTTCCAATGGATAAATTGCTGTCCAGTGGATAATTGATAGCAAAACGTATAGCAGTATTCCTGGGATAGAGTTTTACCCAGTAGATAGCGCCATTCAACCTTCGAACAACCGGGCCCAGGTTTGTACTGATAATTCACAAAAGAACTATCTGCGGTAAGAGGGCATGCTTTCCTTTCCCTATTTAAAGAAAAACTGAGGTTATCATCTTTCTGCAAGTTCAGTGGAAAGTAAGAGTGATTGAGACTGATATTGACTATGTTTTTTTTAATAAATATCCACAGGAGGCTAAAAAGTAAGATATGGTCTGCACAGATCTCTTATTTTTATTTTTTAAACCAATTAAGCTAAGGCATTTATATTCTTGCTTTGTGCATTATGTGGATGCCAATTAATTTAACTTTAATGCATTAAAATACAAACAATGTTCTCTTCATCTATGTGCCCAAAACATTATGACGGAAGAGGCAGGTCAAGGTAAAGACATGAATTAAAAAAAGAGGGCCCCCATTAATTTCAGTCCTAATTGAAGGAGGATCCTTACCTTGCCAGATTCCAGCCCTTTAAAACTCGCATATCTTGTGACCAATTCCATATATCAATGTTTAGTTTGGGTATGAGTATCGATAAGAAACATCATGCATCAGTGAAAGCTTGAGAAAGAGTATTTAATGCAGTCTAAATAATAATATTACATGCTACAAAGTGGTAACTTACACAGCGAAATTATGTAATCACACAATTCCAAACAGAGGAGGTCAGGTTATTGACTCACCTGCTTCAACTTTGAGGGCTTAAGGTACAGAGAAATAGATATGGCAAACAGTTACAATTGATACAAGGTTGAATGTTTGAAAGCTGAAAGACATACGTTGCAATCATAAGACACTATGCATCCTAGTAAAGAAAGGGTCATTTACCATGGTTCCATAGCTTCTCCCAAACCTTCAAGCTTACAAGGAATCATTAATTTTTGTCACTAGGTGGTACGGTACTTACAATAGTTCTATCGACACAAATACATTTTTCTAAAGTTATCTAATAGCACATGAATGTACGGGTCATGGGGAAAGTTCCTGCATGGGGACTGACATTTCAATTACCTCAGCAAACTGTAGTCATCAGAATTGCAGGCCAAGGTGTATTTACCAAGTGCTCAAGTTTCAAAATTAGTCACCTGACTGTTACGGTGGAGGTCACTCCTTTTTGAGGCTAACTTCAGTTTGATCATCCTGTTACATGCGAAAACATCAAATGTTACTCACATATTTTAATAATTACCTGAATCAAAATTTATATATTTTTTAAATAACCTGCTTCCTTCAGTTGTGCTCCAGAAATAGCTAGTGGTATTGAAGAGAAAGGAAAAAAGTTCTTGACACATTCTATGTTATGAATGTTGATTGTGCGAGAAACAAAAAACATCTGGGAAGCTTTAAGAACAATTACCTTTCCATGTAAACAAACCATAATGAAGGATGATATGAATAAATTTAATCTCATCCAGCTTGAATGCAGAATCCAAAATCTAACTAACTTACTAATGCTGCTTCTGTCATTCTAAATATTACAAATCAATCACGCCACCACTCAACCCTTTAACCCCTAAGAGTGACTAGCATCTAATTTCTCCCTACAGTATCACTTCTGAATCATACATTAAGGTCATGAGAATAAAGGAAATGATCACCAACTCTTGTTTGCTAAACAAATTCTCCTTGTTAGCAACTTAGGAAATGTATGGAGAACAGTGTGAAAAATACACGTAATGATGTTAGGGTGTAATGGGTCAAGTGTGATTGTTTTGATGATGTGTACTTTTTTCTTATGGACATCTAATTTTAGTATACATCTTTTACCAGCTGATATATGAGAAGAATCAAGTCCACGCTGGTAATTTAAAACATTGCAGGCAAGCCCTACAACTGATTAAATTTTATTTGATCAAAAATATGAAGGGCAGTAGAGGAAATCAGCTAACACAATTCAAGTTTCCCTTCTTAAGGGAAGACGTCAGCATCCATTGAACAAATTTGAAATACTTTGGCAAGCCGTGCAAAACTCTTTTTCACTCCTACTTTCATATTTTGTCGCTCAATATGTCCTAATAATTGTTGTTTAGTAATTTTGTAAAAACATATTTTAGTTTTCGAGAAATTATTTATTTCGTTCCACCGCTCAAATACTCAAAGTCCGGCAAAATTTACTTGCTAGCAACTATGAAATATACATGGTGTGCCTTCTTGTCGTCACCGTCTACTGGAATAAATCACTACAATTTAAAAAAAAATCTAACATATCACTCTAACCTTGTTTATTTATGATTTTTTCGCCATTTCAATCATTATATTACGCTTGGGTATTACTTTTTGACAGGAGCCCAGGTTTTGTGTTGTGTTTTCCCCTCCCCCATTTATATAATAAGCTAGTCACACAATAATTGATAGTGACACAACTGAATATTTACCATGTATAAAGATTTTTGCTTATGATGAGTTGAAAATATTAGAACATCTGGTTTTCGTGGTCACTAATCGTTGTTTCAGTGGCGGCGAAGTAGTTAAAAGCTGGTTGTTACTCCAACACTATTGAAATTTATAGTATTTAGACAGGCAAACAAAAGCGTGATGCTCTGGAAATAAAAACTTTTAGGTGGCCTTTTACATGATATCAGAATGAGTTTTGTTCAAGAACAAGTTCATACAGTGAACCTCGATTATCCGGACTCGGTGGGACTAGGGTAAATAGTCCGGATAATCGAGAGTCCGGATAATCGAAAATATGAATATTAATGAGACAATTGAGTTATGATCGTCTCGTGTGTTTACATAACCCACGCTCATCGAACTGATCAAGCATGACTTTCCCTTAGCAACAAAACAATGCTGAACCAATCAAAATTCAGCTGAACGCATTAGAATGCTTCTTGTCTCTTTTTGTCTCCGAGCGCTCGATCTTTCGAAGGAGTGTGTAATGCGCTGTTTTAACCACAATTTTCCTGACTTTTAACATAATTTCTGAATTTTTTTACCTCCTAAAGTTTTTAACATATAAGGTCATTAATATTCATGAAAAAAACGGGACCAGAGAAAAAGTCTGGATAATCGAAAAGTCCGGATAATCGATGTCCGGATAATCGAGGTTCGACTGTACCGGTTGCCACTTGGCACCAGAGCAAAATTTATTCGAAACATGTAATTTCTGAATGATTTTATTGGGGTTTTCTTAACATAATGAAACACTCATTCAGGACGACCTTTTCTTCCTGCATAATGTAAGTGCGGTACGACTCTCGTATGTGTATGAATCCTCTTAAGGAGCAAGGGAAGCATAGCAAAAGACAGGAAAGGACATAAATACTTGTTTTTACAGGCTAAATTATCTTGCATGTAAATGTGGTATGAATTTAATTTCGTTCCGGAACGGAACTTATTTTGGAAATATGTAAAAAGTACCTTAGGGACGGATAATTATATTTTTGAGGGGAGGGGTGACTGGGGCAAATCACATTTTTTTTCACTGGGGAGCAAATCACATTTTTTGTTTTTAGGTGTTCATGGGGCGGGGGGAGGGGAGGTGACCGGAAATGGGTGAGGATGCTTGTATCATACCTTTAAGGTTAGCGACCTGGTACCCTTTACGATGTCTCAAACTTCAGTTGGCTGCCAGAGACCTAGCTGGTACATTTTAGGGTGTTTTTTGCTCAATAAAATACCTGAAATAAGCATTACTAGGACGATTTTAATGATCTGACTCAAGCCTCTTAAGTACATTGATAAAGGAGTCTATTTTTTGGGATTTTTCAGTTTTTTGTTTTAGAATTGGTACTATTCAGGGGTAGAGACTTAGGTCAGACTTAGGTACCTTTAATAATTTTATAGCAGTCGTTCTCGAAATTCCATGCGTGCACCCCCACCCTTTTATGTAAAGGGGTCCCATGGGGGTGCTGATACGTGCAACAGCGCACTTGAGATTTGGCAAGGACAAATTTTGATGTTAATTTTTGGTGAAGAGAAACAAGTTTTGTCGGTGTCTCGTAGCTAATGCGGAAGGGCCCTTTACCACCATGTGCACAATTACTCGTCCGGCCACATGGCAGAAAGCCACCAAAGTGTTCAGACATTAGTTCAGAAAACTCCGCCTCTGTCTGGATTTTTGGTAGCCTATTGACCAATATTCCCAATTGAGACTTAAGTCTCAAGCTGACAGGCTGCATAATTTTGCTTATGGCAGTAAGTAGCTTACTTACCGGAGCCATGCTGTATGAAATTTCCAGACATCTTGAGTAATATCTGTGATAGATGCTTGCCAATTCCCCTTTACCATGGCTGGACACTTCTTTTAGCACTCTACGTCTACTACTAGAACCATGACTCCACTCAACACTGAGATTTGATCAATGAGTGGCGTAATTTGTAAATCATCTATATCTTTCGGTGCCTCGAAGATACTGTATTGCGACAAAATAAGATCAACTTCATTTTCTGGATCTCAAAACTTGCAACTCTGCAGGTGACTTGAGATGTCTTCTTGATTACTAAACCCACAAGTTCAACCAGGGACAATTTAACTGAACAGGAAATCTCTCTGTTAGCATATAGGATGAGACGCTTATAAAACAGATTAATTAACCAAATCAGTATGTAGCTTGTCAATCAAATTGACTGTTGTAACCATTCTTTGAATTCCACTGGTGAAAGAAATCATTGATGGACCTGGACATTTTAGTTTTCTGAATGCAGTTATTCCTGAAAAGTTTTCCTAGATGTCATGCAAAGAGGAAAAAAAACACATCTCTTGGTATTTCAGAGGTTGATTCATCTTTGAATTTCTCTGTCACGCTTGTCGTGGCATTTTTTTCTATCATATGGTAAAATTTACAGTTTCCCTCATTTCACTGTCTTCTGTTCATTTGTTTGTTTGCCTTCCTAACAATCCTAACTACACAGTATTGTTGCCAACAAATGCAAGGAGCAGCATATAAAATGTGTACAGTTATTAACCTTTTAACCCCTAAGAGTGACTAGCATCTAATTTCTCCTTTCAATATCACCCCTGAATCGAACATTAAGCTATGAGAATAAAGAAAATGATAAACTGAGGAACCTCTTGATTGTTAAGCAAATTCTCCCTGCCAGCAATGTGGGAATTGTATAGAGAACAGTATGAAGAATATGCATGCTGATGTCGGGATGTAAAGGGACATGTAATCAGTTTTATATATGTAGAGTTTTGCACACAGTTACACATCCAAATTTTCTCAGCTTGAAGGGTTACTGCTATTTTGTATAATTATGGGACTACACAGCAAGCTCTGCTATTATAGCATGTCGTGGTGATTCTGGAAGTTAAATGAAGTTTGAACTCTATTCTCCAGATTCAATCAGTACTGTTGGATCAGGTGTAGACTAAGCCTAACTGATGCTGTTGTAGTTATTGTTGTTCTTGATATAGTTTTCTCAAACTCATTAATTATTCAAACAGTTATAAGCTTATTGGAGTGCCCCATTTTGGTCAGGTGCATGTATCTTGATACCCAATGAAAATCTAGATCAAGATTACTCCAGTTAGTTCAAAACCTGATGAAAACACTGATCGAGACACTTGAATTTTAATTGGCAACTTCAATTACCATACAATCAATTATTCACTACTGTTCTTTGAAAAGTTATTCACAACGTGAAAATTACAATTCTGGAAAGTTCCCTCATGGAACGCAGCATTAAATAAAGAACTTAATGGCTTTTCATCCTCTTGTTTAAAAGTTTCCCCTTTGGAAGTACTTAACTCAGCATTTGGACCCAGCAAATAAGATACCTTTCCTTTATTCTCCTCGCTGGGTTTCTCATACTTTAATAAAGTATTGGACCGATGTCCTGTTTGCTCACATATAAGCTTTTCTTTTACCCCAGCATTAAAAAGAGACAAAGCACCTGTGATATGTAGGCAATGCGCAGTTTACCGTTTTACCCCTGCTGCCTCACATAAATCTGGCAATACCTTATATAGAGTGTTAATACCGACTGGAACTTTTTCAAAACCAAATCTGGCCTTGGATGCCTAATGGTAAAATGCATTACCATTCTTTCCAAAGACTTCCACTAAGCCTATATACAAGCGATTTATTTCAACAAGACATGGCTCGTGTTTTACGCCTTCTTTGTGACAGATGTGCTTAACTGTTCTGGGAATATATTTCAGATCAGAGACTCCTCCATGAAGTGTTTTACAAGAATTTTCTTGAAACTTTATAGAATTAGACCCCAGCTCAAAAATATTTAACACAATATTTCTATGATCTCCACCTCGTAAACCACAGATTTTTCCATTGTAAAAATACACTGTATACAATAATGACTTAGCTGAGCTCGTTCCTAATAGCATTCTTCATCTCTGCATCTAAGGCACGCGGAAAAATGCTGAACCTATTGTAATTAATCCACCAACAAGAGCATGTAACTTTAAAGAAAAACTGAAACTATTCCCGAAATAAAATATACCAAACAAGCAAAAACAACATGTTTAATTCCCTGTACTTTTATCGTGAGCACACTATCCCGTACACAGTTCTGGTTGGATACCTTTCCCCTGAATCTTTGTTGACTTCCATTACAAACTTCGTGAGCCAGTAGTCAAGAGATATGGCATCCATATCCTCTATTCACAACTAACAGGATTAACCTTGTGCAATTCATAATCTTGGAAAAGACCGTGATCTAAAATTGGCACTTTCACCTCCCTTTCCTGCTGCCATTTCCGAAATATTTTTAAAGCCCATTTGTTTTTGTACTTTGTAAAAGATGGAACAGCTTCATTGGCCAGGACTTCTTCCTCAGCTGCACTTTTCGGCAAACGGAAATGACTCGATCTTCCTTTCTCCTTCTCAGCTAGAACCATCAATTACAATGAAACATTGCTAGCATGTGACAAACGGCTTTCAAAATACAGGCAGAGACTTGCATGAGCTGTTTACCATTCCCGCAGAGAATACATTATTTTTGCATGTTTTATTGCATTGTATTTTCAAGACGTGATTGAGAAGTCATGTCAAAAATTCGTGCTTCATGTTTCATCAGGGATTCCAAACACCTTGAAACAATAAAAGCGGCCTTGTGCTTTTATCTGTTTTTCGGTGTTTGGAACCCCTGATGAAACACTCACACTCATATTTAATATATTACATAGGCTATTCAAGAGCCTTTGATGCTCATAATGATAGATGTACAATTTTATATAATGACTGGTGAGGTTGGTTCTAACAAAAAGTTATCATGACAACAACTAATTCACAGTTTTGGAATTTATTAAAATTTTAAAAACAGTACCTGTGTAGTCTTGTTATCATTCTAGACAAAAGTAAAATTGTTGTTTTTCATTCCACAGTGAACAATTTTTATTTTGGTTGGATTTTTCCTTGGAGATTGATAGATTTTTGAAACATCCACCTCTTTCTTTATACCATCATAAACATTTGGATTTTAACTTCCCAAAATGTTAGCAAGCAATGAACAAAACATTCTTTTTTTAACAAGAGGGCTTCCTTTGACTGAAGTGCATAGTCTTTAAAAGAAGGGGGGTATCCCCTTAAACTAGGGGATATATTCATTAGGTATCTAGTCACTTCGCCCTATGGTCATTTTGTCCCCAGTCACTTCGCTCCATAATCAAAGTCACTTCACTCCATACAAAAGTTACTTTGCTCCGTGTTACAAGTCAAGTGTATATATACTCACAAGATTGTATGATTGTACAACATGTTTGTAATTGTCCGTTTCACTTGCCCTAATCTCTCTCTGTTCCCCATGCCATGCTCATGTTGTTGATGCACTTATAAATACAATCTTGACACCAAGCTGATGTTGTTGATGCGCTCAAAATGTGCTAGAACTTTAAGAAGTGTATATATGCCTACAAGATTGTATGTTATGGTTGTCCGATTTATAAACACAATCTTGAGGCCATGCTAATGTTGTTGATGCACTCATTGATCGATGGTCGTAGTTCAAGGGGTAATTCATTCAAGGACTTAAAAGCAACTAAGATAAAAAAGAGCAATTGAGTCAAAATATCTTTGATTACACGCGTTGTTTAGCATTCACTTGTAGCACTTACATGCTTACAAGATTTATGTTACAGTCATTCAATTTATAAATTCGTTCAAAGACTTAAAAAGCCACTGAGATCTGGGCATAGTTAAAGAGCGACTGAGTCTAAATATCTTTGTTCGATTACTTACATGCTTACAAGATTGTATGTTATAGTCGTCCGATTTATAAATTTGTTCAAGGACTTAAAAAGTGACTGAAATCTAGGTGTAGTTAGAGTGATTGAGTCTAAATATCTTTGTTTGATTATGCATGTTTTTTAGCATTCAGTTGAAGTACTTACATGCTACAATGCCGAGATGTTGTTGATGCACCCATTGATCGATTGAATTTCAAAAACTGTAGCCCTGTAGATTATGAACTGCATGTAAAAACTTTTTGTTAAACATGTACATAGTCCAAGGGCTATTGAGTCTTAATATCTTTGTTTGATTTATTGCGTGTGTAGTTGCACAAAACTTCTGTTCATGAAGACTGTATTGTTGTCATTCTCTTGCCACATGTACCCACGCATAATGTGTGAGCTTATGTGGATTCAAGATGAGAGCTCTTCTTTTCGGCACAACATGCCGACTAAGCCTTTCAAAGACTTGTTAATTCAGAATACAACCTTAACATCAACTATCTGTGTTATGTCAAAAGGGCCCTTAAGATTCTCTACCACTCCTAGATTAGTGAACTTGCAACGTAACACCTTAAACTGCTTTTAGTTTTCCAGTTCAACTTCAAGACTGTATTGTTCTTTTCTTGTCACATCCACTACCCACACAATGTGTGAACTTAAATGGAGGTGAGACTTTAGTAATCAATTAGTAACCAATCCAAGCGTGTTTTTTCCAAATTGAAAATTTTGATCCTAGGGAACTATATAAAAGATGGTAGACTCTTACTCAATTATCATATCAGGATTGAGCTACCATCGCTAATTTATCAAAACAGTCACAATTCTCGTCATCGTTAACATGTTTGTAGAATATATTGCTTGCCAGAATCCAGTATGGGCGTGTCAGCAAGGCCTTCAATGCTATGGTTGTTTTCACTGGCAACATCGTACTTGTGGAACAGGAATCTCCCAGTGTGATTACCATTTTGCTATGCAAACTGGTAGTTCCATTGACTAGCGCTGTGTTACCTGTTTGTCCATGTTGCTGTCTGAGAGTATGCCTGTCACTGAGGATACACCTGTTGACTTCACCGAGTCTATTTCCACCCTCTATGAGCCCCTTGCCAATCCTGCTGTTGATGAATCATCTATCCTTGATCCACTACCTACATCCGTAAAGAACGCTGTCACCTTCCAAATCATGAAATACTCCATGACAGAAGGCAGACCAAAGTTGATCAACAGCAGGGGTTACTGCTACAACATCAAACACAGCAGAGCACATGCCATTGACTGGCAATACACATTCAGGCCTAAGGTAACTATCTTTACGTTGTCTTAGTTGCTTATTTATTACAATTGTTCCTAATTACTTACTTTAGTAATTCTCTTTTCAAAGGTCAACCCATGCAGAGCAGCAGTGATAGAACATAGTGATGGTAGTTTTCAATTGTCAGCCAACACCGAAAACAATCCAGCAGACCCTGGAGCAGCAGTATGTGCTCATAACAGCAATAGTTAGGGCCAAAGCTGCAGCAATTATCTTCAGACCAGCCTCTGCCATCATTGAGGAAGTTCGGCTGGACCAAAGGACTGATGGACCTTGCTCAAGTCTACCCCAGCCAGACTATGTTGCTGAAGCTGCCAGCAGAAAGCACCAGCAGCTACGACTGAAAGACCCGCTGGATCTAGACTTCAAATTAGAGGAAAGCCCTGATGGTTCCTTCCACTTAGAGCTTAAAGTGCATGGTCGTCACCACCTGATATTCAGCAGTTCCTGGCCCAAGCATTTTATTTTCCTTAGGTACCAGAATTGGGTCTACAGAGTGCCTACAGCCATGACTGAGATACATTCCAATTCATAAGAAAGATGCTGGCACTGCTCTTCCTGGCAAAGAACGATATTGGGCCGATGTTTAACCGCCTCCAGCGCCAAGCTCCTGTCACATTGCAGCCCTTCATTGAGTATGTGTCAGGCAATTAGATCAATGGCACCACCTGGACCCATCAGACTGGACCTTATGTAAAAGAGCTGTAAGGACAAATGACAACATCGAAGGGTGGCACCATGGCCTCGACCACCAAGCCTCTGGATGTGCCCTTGTACCTCCTGATTCTGCTCCTAAACAGAGAGGCCAAACTTACTGCCCCACAGATCCACCTTGCTTCTGTCAGGAAACTCAAGAGAATTCAGCGATGCAATTATCATGAGCTGCAGACCAAACTGCTCGACTTGTGGAACAAACATGAGGCCAACAAATGGTCCACCAAGCAGTTGCTGAAAGCCTGCTCTTACCTGAATGCACCAAGGGACTAGGCTGATGAACCATCACAAACAAAAAACAAACGGCTCCTTTAGAAGCCACCAAATAAAATAAAAGCAATGTCAACAACACAATAAATGCCAACACATAGAACACACAGAAAAAGCTAAAAACATGACAATTCTTTAAATAAAAAATTAAATCTTAGAAAAAGCCGAAGAATTATGCAAACTTAATCACACTCGTAACCTTTTCTCAAGGTGGTTTCGCTATCTCGTATGAGCTACCTCACACAGTGACTCTAAACTTACCTGCTTACCTGCCTTCATCGCCTAAATAAAGCTCTCTTTTCCCATTTCAGTGATGCGTTGTCATTGCAAGTTTTCAACCAGTCACACGCATGAAAGTGTATTGAAATGTCATAAGCAAAACTATAAGAATTAACAAGGACACTCCTTCAAGTATTCCTTCTGTGCAATAACGGGGGGTTCGAGGGATTACAATGTATAAGAATCAGTGTTGAGGAAAGTAATCAAATGAAATATTTCACTGCATAAGTTGATAAATCTGAACTGACATAAGTTCAAAATCAGTCCAACTCCAACATCAAAACAAAAAGTTCATGACTAATTTCTTACATGGAGCAAAGTAACTTTTGTATGGAGCGAAGTGACTTCGATTATGGAGCGAACTGACTTTTGGTTGAAGCAAAGTGACTGGGGTAAAATGACCATGGGGTGAGTTGACCGTAATTCATCCATTGACAAAGGCTTATTCTCTCATCGTTGTGTAGGTGTGACACTTGATCTTGATCGAGCTATTTCCTACGTTTAGGTTTACAGCCTACTTAACCAGGAAATTCTTCTCTTAAATTTGAGTAAATGACTCTTCATCAAGTGTCTTTAGATTTCTTAAAGTTATCTCCTCAAGTTAAGAAAGAGTGACTCTTAGCCTATGGACAGCCATTTAAGAGTTCTTAACTTAAAGTAGGAGAGTACTTTTTGGAGTGTGGTAGCATAAGTGAATTTTGTTTCAAATGTCTAGAGTTAACCTCAGAACCTGAGGTCCTTAACACTGTTAAAGGCCATTTTATTGAGTTTACTACAACCCCTTATCGAGGCCAAGTACCTGCAGAAAAGAAATTCAGTTCAGAGGAAAGCAATATATATTGTTTGTTACTTGAGAAATTAGTTTTTCCATTGCCCTATCCTGGTTGTGCAACCAGTATGTCATTTCTTTGAAGTCTGAATGCGGAGGTGCGCACGTATCTCACGTGACTCCCTTTTTCCTGACTGGTGACTCATAGAATCCTAATCAAACTTCAACTTCCAAGTAAGTCTCGTTTAATTATAAAATTTTTAAAGGTTTTTTCTTCGACGTTCACTTTGAGTTGTGTTTTTGGGTCTGTTTTGGTGAGTTCACTCAGATATAAAAAGATACATATATACACACCTGTTTAGAAAAATGTTGCCATTTTAAAAAACACATGAAATATACATACCTTTTGTTTTCTCATCAAAAAGTGTCTCTTTTACTATGTTTACAATAATGAACTATGTAAGAATGGGTAAAAGTGAACAATAGCTCCCATGTTCAACTGTCGGCCAACATGATACCAACACATTACCAACAGCCAGCAGAAAGTGTAAACCCAAAGCAGTAAAAGTTGAAAACAGCAAAAAGACATCCATCTTCAGACCATAATACCACTTTTTGTATTTACCTGTTTCCTAAATTGTATTTTTACACTAAAATATGCTTTTTTGCTCGGTAGCAAAAAGGAAGTTATTCAATCACCCTATAATGCATCGTAAAACCATAGTTTACAATACTTCATGTATGTCTGATTAATCTTTCTTTACTTGCAACAGGTGACAATCATCGCCCTTTTTATGGTGAAAATTAAAATATTAAAGTATACCTTTTTTGGCGTTTTATTAGACTTCATTTTATTTTATTTATAAAAGACATCAATACATTGGTCATTGACTTTTATTTTATTTGGTGGCTCTTAAAAAAAACCGCTCCTTTAGGAGCCACCAACTTTACAAAAGTGAATAAACCAACAGAATAAACATCTAAACAAATAAAAACTCTATTAACGGGGTTTTGTCGATGAAGCTTCTAAATAAATTTTAAAAAAACAAATTATTAATGGGGTTTTGCAGGCAGGACATCAAGATTTTACTTAGGGGATTGGGAACTAGGAAAAGTTCTCAATATGGTTGACAAATGAAATCGAACCAATATGGGCATGCTAGGTAGGCAATAGCCATACTAACTACTCTTTGCAATTAATTTTTCCCGTTTCAACACAGTTGTTGAAGTGATAAATAGGTAAGTGTTTGCAATCATTTCAGCACTCGACTTACCGACACATTGCTGACAGGTCGCCAAGAGGTTACCAACAGACGGCTGATGGTTGGCTGACACTAGTCTGCAACATAACAAAAACTGTCGGCCAACTGTCGGCTGACAACTGTTGGCCAATGGTTGGCCAACTATTGTCTAACAGACGGCCAACTGTTGACTGACAGTTGGCCAACAGACAGCTGACAGTATCTCTTAGGAACTGTTCTTCACTGTTACCCATGAATGTGGCTGTCAATTACATTATCACTGACTACATATTTCTATTATTTTTGTACAGAATTTGTAAAAATTATAAGATCACAAGTGGAAATGCAACAATTACAAGATAAAAACAGAATACGCCAATAGATCAAAAACTAAAAATCCCCTTTTCACCATAAGACAACTCCGGAAGAAGAGCAGAAGTTTTCTAAATACATTGCAAATTACCTTTTTAAAGATTAGATACGCTGTATAATAGGCCCCAACTAAAAAAACAATTTTTTCTCCCAACAAAGTTTATAAGGATCTCATGAGTAAAGCAAGGTAAACATCAATGAATTATTGTGTCACAACGACACTGAAGAGACTAATCATGTCAATTGGTCAGATTTTTTTAAGAGAACTTGCCTTTCTAAACAAGATCTTTGGTAAAAAACAATTCTTTTTATTTGGAACAAAGTGGATAATGATCTCAAGGCGAATAAAGCGAGGTGAACATCGCCAATGACCAACAAACCTTTAGACGTGAAGAAAGTGAACAAATTGTGTGACAACACTGTAAAGACTCATTATGTCAATCGGTCAGATTTTTTTTCTCTAGTTGATTTCATAGATCAGCGAGTTGGCATTGGTGAGTTGAACCGTCAGTGACTTGACTCTAATTTGGTTTGATTTGCAGCTGAATTTCAAAGTCCACATTACAAAAACATGCAATCTATCTTTTTATTCACTACACAAAATAAGATGCACTAGAAAGTATCTTTCGTACAAGAGTGCACAAACATTAATCTTAGCACTGGTAATTGGATGCCTAGACTACCATAACAGTCTGCTGTATGGCTCACCAGCCAGTTATACTAACAAATTGCAATGGGTTCAAAACGCTGCCACAAGGCTCATATTCAATGCCACGCATTTTGATCACATTTCTCCTGTTTTGATATTCTTGCACTGGCTACCAGTTAAATACTATAAAATGTCTAAACTGGCTGTATACACATTTAAAGCAATACATAGTAGTGCTCCATCATATATTCATCAATTGATTAGACTTAAGCTATAGTCAAGTTATAACCTGCGATCAAACACTTACTGCTTGATCTGCCCAACAAGACCAAGAAGATAACAGGAGACAGGGTGTTTTTTGCAGTCACGCCGACCCTGTGGAACACCCTTCCAGATGAGTTGAGAGCTTTGGGCAGTCTCAAAACTTTTGTCACAGCTAAAAACTCATCATGTTAAATTGCCTTTTACCTTATGACCTATGGTATTTTAACATAGATTTTTGCATGCTCACACACATTTATATAATATCTTTATTTAGTATCCATTTATTAACTATTTAAATAAGCTGTGATTTTTTTATCCATTTCATTATAACATTATAAGCATGTACCCATGTTTTATGTGCTATATAAATAATAGTTATTATTATTTATTTATTATCTGGAAACTTTAGAAAAAAATCTTGTTCATTCATAACCCCATACTTTTTAATCTTTCCTTAAACTCTTACTGCAACTATCTTGCACTTGTCTATCAATAATCACCCTATCAAAATACATATAACTTATCAAATTCTTTCAGTTTATTTGTAAATCAATTTAAGAAATTAAAGAACCATACTTTCAACTTGCAACTCAATTTAATTGGCAATCTATAACACCAATCACCAGCCATGGTAGGTGGAATTTTTTTCTGACTCCTAGAATTGAACATTACCAACAAAGCTAAATAATGGTAGCAGATCTCTAATATTTCAAATAGAAAATACAAGGCATATTGCTTCCTTATAACATCATAGCATTTATCTAGACCTTAGAGCTTCACCACACTTGTAACACATATTACAACCTATGGTACAGACTTGAATAAAATTCTTTAAAAACCTAAAGTTAACTTTTGGTGCAGTGAAAAACCTAATTCTGGGTAGTTTAGCACCTTTATCGTGTATTCATTTAATTATCACAACAAATCAATCTTTGTCGACCATACGTTGGAAGTGTGCAAAAGAGTACTTTGTTTCTTCACCTATAAGCTGAGCAATTTTTTCAGTGTTTGACATAAAACTATGGGGGATCTTTTTACAAGAAATGGGATTTAGCTTATAGCCGGGGGTTTGGGATTCAAAAACAAGTACAATTCGATTAGAATTGTCATGACAACAAAGAATTTCTGACCACCAATCAGATACTTTGCTTCCCATGCATTGAAAGACAATCTCACTCAACTTGGCAAAACTCTTCACATTTCACAAATGAAATGTTTGGTCTCTCTGCTGAGAAAACCACTCCATCACTTTCTCCTTTAATTTGGAATACTTTGGAGTGAAACAGCCCATTTTTGCACGTTTTGTAGACATCTTAAGCTCACCAGGAAGAATAGTTGCCGGGTCTCTTCTCCAGCATCACACCATGGACTCCCAAAGTCCATAAATCTTGAGCGATTTCTAAGTTTTGCTTCAGTTTAACTTTTATCT